CAAGTTTTAATTAACGACTGAAATTAAACACTGTTCCCAGTATCGACCGCTGTCTGGAAATACAGTTCCTAGACCCCTGGAAAGAGGCAACACTGGCGTATACAATCTCGGCAAGCACCAGCCACAAGTCTGCCAAATCCACGGAGGCGAAGATCGTAAGTTCCCCGTCAACCACCATGTTCCTTGCTCCGTCACAAAATGGGAATGACTTTGTCGAGATAATCATAATTGGTGGACCGATCGTGGGGCAAATAATTGAAACTACCGACAAAAGAAGCTACACTTTGAGGAAAAAAAATTCAGAATTAATGATTGCTACAGCAAGTGGTGTGTATAATTACCACTGGACTTACAGTATTAAAAGACACTGAAGTAACATACAACTGGAATGAAAATAAAATTTCGAAACTTCCAAACATGTGACAGAGATGGCCCCAGATATAAAAATACTGAGACATTAAGACAAGCGACAAGTGGGGCCTGGATCTCTGTCTTTCACGGATCTAGCTGTCTGGCAGTTACGAAACTAATTACAAGAACTTTTAAACCTGTGTTCGTGTTATCTTCCACCATCGCCGTAAGGCATGTGGTTAAAATTAAAAGAAACGTGGAATTCACACTACGACTTCTACACCGCCTTAAAATCGTTTTTACCATCTGTTCGAAAGTGACGACTGAACAGGGAGGGTTACAGGAGTAAACAAAGTCAATACTTGAGTAAGACAGATGAAGAAGGGGTGGCATTACAGGTATCTTTGCGGCGTCTTCAGCTGGCGGGATGCAGACAGCTTCTTCAGGTGCGACGTCCCCCGAGTTCTCTCTCCCCTGACACGTCTCTCGCTTCAAGCGAAGGATCTGAACGAATGTAAGGATGCTGGAAACGTCTGCCAGAGTGAACGCTAAGGATTTGTCTGATGTTTTCCGACATGCTTTTAGATTGTCAGTCCAGAAAGCGCTTAAAACTGATTCAAGAGGGCTTCGTGTTATAAAGATGACGATTCTGGGAACGGTGAATGATTCGAAAACGTCACTAAAATAACTAAGCGAAACACTTTTAACACTGAACTTACCGCTTCTTGAAGAAACACAATTTAGCAGGACAACATTCTGCACTCGATGAGAAACTCGCATGGTATTTATTTCGTCTGTTAATTATTCAAATTAATGGACATGCACGATTAATTTTCACAATCTGTACAAACCAGTTGTTCAGAAACTTCAAGAGTAAATAAATTTACTAAGAAGAATAATATCAGATTTATTGCCATGATATGTAAAATACATAACGGAATTAACGGTCTTGGATAGCTAGAACACTGGAAGCGTGTATCTGCGTTTGTTTCGATGCATTGCCAAGGGCCGACACCCCGTCGAAGGAATCCTGTTAAATAACCAGAAGGATTCATAGTGTCAGACGTTAATTCGAAGATGACAAAGGGCAAAAGACGTATCTCCAGGTGGAGGTATAGCCGCATATATTCTTAACCTCGGTTGGGTGAAAATGTCGATTGATCTCGGTAGACCTACTCACCGGAAAGGAACCTAGGTGGGCCCTAGAGCCGGTCTGGACGTCATAATACAGAGAAATATCTCTTCACCTGCCTAGAATCGAACACCAGTCGTCCAGCAGGAAGCTATTCAGTATACCGACTGAGCTGTCCTGTCTCACAGTGCCTCATACAAACGCACTGAAGTTATGGAAAAAGGTTAGTACGAATTGCTGGCGTAACAAGTGGTCGAGGAATAAAATATGCAAGCTCCGTCCTCTTTGTATGAACACTGAAGGGAATAGGATAGGAGCCGACATTGTTTCAGTTCTGCGTCTGTCCTTCTTGAGCACGTGGCGCGGAAGGAGACACTGTTTTATTACTCATATGAAGTAACATTCGAAACTCAATCTATTCTCACATCTGTTACCCACATGACGTAGCTGTATAATATAATAATATAAATCAGTGGCGGAGCGCGACCTTTTTTTTCAGAAGTGTTAGCAAAATCCAGTCGCAGGGATTGAGACAAATTTTGCAATTGAGTGTACATGTCATATTTCATCTTCCATGATGCATTCAAGTCACAAAACGGCACACGCCTACAACAAAGGTTACGGAATTAAAATAGCGATAAATCTTTTTAGAAGTGTTAGCCGAGCTGGCACGGTTAACACGAAAGTTCTGCTCCTAACACAAACTTCTCTCAAAAATATCGACTACGTTGAGGAACTCTGATGACGTGAATTTCGCAGCCAATGAATGTCCAAAAGTGGCGCATACAGCAGCCTTCAGTTGAAAATCAACAAGAAAGTTCATTATATTGTTAACAGCGAATACAACAGATGCCAGAACATTGTTGAACACTCTTGTTAACGCATATAATACGGCCAACGTAAATGTATTTCTATTTTATTTCAATTGCTGGTGATGTCACTGTTTAACGAAATCTGCTTCACTAAATGACGAACTGACAATGGACACGTTCTTAACTTGAAAGATCTAGGTGAAGATTGGATAATGATATTAAGCGAATGTTAGGAAAACAGGGTTGGAGATTTGAGACTGGATTCATCTGGCTCAGAATTGAGACACTGTCGACCTCTTGAGCAGACGGTAATGAACCTTTGGGTTCCATAAAAACAAGGGAATTTCCTTTCCGACCGAGTTTACTACTATAAGCTTGTCAAGAAATACTCTGCTCCACGGAATTAGTTTAGTTACATCCTTGTCATTTAATTAATAAAATAGTATCTTTATGAATCGACATCGAATTTATAGAATTTTTTTCATTCCAAATTTTATTTAACTAATTCATTACATTGAAAAAAAAATCACCCATTCTGTAAACCCATCTTTCTTTTGTTCTTTTCACAGCCTCTAACGTACAGACTATGTCACGTAGACCACCGATGCTAATTAATCTTCCTTCGTGTTGCTGTTGAGTACACTTAATATCAATTAATTTTATCACGGACTTAGAGATGGTAGATCTTCGAAACACATGTAATCCCCTTTTTCACAGATGGGTTAAAATGCACTAAATAAAGTGGAACAAAACAGATAAGTTATGGAACGAGATCGTATATTTTGCTTGTTTGTTTCCTTACAGACACAAGCTAGCACTTCCAAGAACGCAACTGTGGTGTCCGGAATACAATCTGCACGAGGCGTCCCTGTACGACCATGCCCCAGTTCAATATAAATGCAAATACGCTCGCTTGGGCCAGTCCTCGCTACATCTCTGTTGTCCCTTCAGAACTTTCTCAGACGTCGGTCAGGTATATCGCGATGTCCCTAGAGAAAGGACCCCAAACACGAAAGATGTCCTGTTTTCTGACTCGATCGGATATTTGTTTGAGTTTTGCATGTACCGAATACGTTTAAACACTGCCTTTCATACATCACACTTATTTATCAGTTTTAATATTTCCTCTCATCTACTACTAGGACATGCGTACCTCCTCTCTTCAGGTTAACCCATCAAAACTTTGCACATATTTCTCGTTTGTCCCATTCGTGTCACATGCCCTGTTATCTCATACACTTCGTTTTATCATCTTAAAATCTCATGAAAAGCAGAAATTATGAATCAACAACGTAACACAGTTTATTAATATCCTATCTAAGAAGCAGACTTTCCAAAGTATAACCAAAAGGTGTACCATTTCAATTGCACGAGCATTTAAAACTAACTTCTGGAAGTAAGTTTCGTCTTGTAGGAACTTGAATACACCTGGTAGCAATGGTAAGGCCTACATGAAAGTTTAATTCACAAAGTTTTGAAAGTTTAAGTTACAAAGTTTCTGACATGTAGGCCGATACATTCTGTTTCGAATTAAGGGTTAAATTCTAAAGTTACGGAGAAATTTAATACAATCCCACACCAACGTTCCATCCCAAGATTTACGTACAGATCACTCTGAAATCACAGAGTACGCGGATTTTGAGAAAAGCCTCTCACTGAGGTTCATGGCCGTTCAAGAGAACATTTAATCGAATGATCGTAGATACCGGATGTAATCTGAAGGAATTCAGCATAGAAACATATCTTCCTGATATAAATTTTGGCAAATATTAAATTTATTGTGCCTTATTATAAACAACAGTATTAGTCCACACGTATTAGCACAGTCTATTAACGAAAAGATACAAACAAAGAGAATGAAATAATTCAAATTAGTCCACGAGAACGGAGAAAAATATACAATGAAAAGCTTTATAAATTTTAATCACCATTAATCCTTTAAAGCACAAGCTCGAATACACCTTTTCATATGAAGTTGAAGTTGTGGCTTTATGCGTTTGTTCGCTTATTGCTCGAGAACGGAAACACCGATTTAAACCAAATTTGGCATGCTTATTTCTTGAGACCATGAAGAGATCATAGGAGGGTCTGCACTCTGGAAAAGCACTCCGAATTCGATTCCCGCTAAGGGCATTTCTTGTAGGTCGGAAACTAAGAACGGTAGAAAAATGGCAACTGGAAAAGACTTGTTTGCTTCGAACAGAAGATCATATAAACAAACACTAGAACACCGGAAATTTGTCCTGTGTTTGATTCTCAGCGAAAATTCATGAGAAATGCTGATGGGTTTAGGCATATATTTCACCTCGTGCACTCTGCTATTATTATTTAATAATTCACTCCGAACCGCAAAGAAAACACAACATTTCACCATTAGTAAGATCATTTTGTTAACGCTGTTGAGGAAATAATCGCAAATTATCCTTAGAATTATACCAAACATAAAAAAGTGCAGACTTACAGAATGTCAAGAAGGTGGAACATACACGTTCCCCAGGCTTTAAAGGGTTAAATATTATAAAAATGTATATAACTCAAGAAGGTTAACATGACGACATAAGCGTCTGTAGGAAAAAGCCCACTTGGAAGATATAAGCGTGGTTGAAAGAACAATATTAAAATTTCAAGAGCTGAGCGACGGGAGTAACACATGTATTGAAAGAAGTCTATATTCGAAGGTAGAAATAAAAGGCAATGCACCTTACCTTTGCCGTGACCTTTGAGGTCAAGTCTGAAAATGTCCTGTCCTTTCTGTCCGTCGACCAGCTGTCCGAGTCCGCCGCTCAAATAGCCCGACTCCTCTCGTCCGTCATACGTTCTGTCCGAGAGGTCAACCTCGGTGCCTCTCTGCACGCCTTGAGGCATGGAATAGCTCAGCAGACCCTCTGAAACAAGGACGAAGGGTGTGAAAAGTTTCGGTCAGTCAAACATGTTGGTACCTAACTCTTGTGAGAAAATATCAAGTTCATGAGATGGTTGCTCGATGTTGCACATCACCATGAACGTTACTTACGTGTTCTATTCTGCTTTGAGTCAGCTGTACGTCAATGGACTCAATCATGAATTCGTCTCATCCGAAGTGGATGGTTTACATTATACATGACCAACTTCGTCCCGTCCGCTGACAGGCTAAATTTAGGTACAGACAGAAGGTCAAACCCTCGTTTGAGACACTCTGTGTGTAGATAAATTGTCTCTGCTGCAGTAAGATCAATATAAATATAATTCTTCCATCTGTACCCAGATTTTATGCTAAATAATATTCCAGAATTCAGTCCGTACCACATTTCACAACTTTAGAAATAATCGATGTTTACATCGACATACATAAAAACAAATAAAATGGATACTCATTTGTTTTTAAAATAATTAGGACATATATTTACCAGTTGGCTTCAAAGGGATCTGTCTCACGTCCAACTATTCTCCTTTTATTGCTTTCATGTCCCCGCTAAGCCACAAATATCTATCTCTATAACCATTGAAATTTGCAAGCCACAAACACATCTGTGGAAGTTGTTACGAAAAATACCAGCACCTGCCATATACATACACCATACACACGTGGGATGATCCTACATGGAAAATGACGCAGTCGGTCGGCTTTCGTAATCACAACGGGCTGCTTCTGACAGTGAAATTTACGTGATGGATAACTCTGCAGGAGACCATTATGCAACACGCGTTGATATTATTTCCGCAGTTCGTAGTGTCAAATAAAGCAATGTCTTGTTTATCCCCACACTTGTTACACTCAGATGCTTTCAGACACTCCTTAGCCTAGTCTCTGCGAAAGTCTGATACTATACGAGGTGCGATCGGAAAGTTTCAAGACTGCGCCTATAAAAACCCGTACACTTATCTCAGGTATTAAATTCATCCATCACCCTCGAAGTAGTTCCCCTGGGAGTGAACACAACGATCCCAGCGCCGCTGCCAAGCCTGGAAGCATCCCTGGAAATCTTTCTTTGTCAGCCTGTCAAGCACCATCTGCGATTCTGCCTGAATCTCTTCTATCGTCTCAAATCTCCTTCCCTTTAGCTGAATTTTCATCTTTGGGAAGAGTTGTGCACTGAACTTTTTATTACTACCTAATCACGTGGTGGGTAACCGGTACTCCACCCTCGTTTCTGGCCCCTTAAAGGGCCAGTTCCTCCTTCTTTGTATCCTCAAACAATTTTCCCGTCTCTTTCCTATTGGCCAGACAGCCTCCGTATTCGTCCTTCACCCCTTGACTGTTTATATAATAATTCAAGGGTTGTTCTTCCCATAATTCTATACAAACAGTCCGATTGTTAAAATTCCAACTTCAGCCCCTAAGATGGAGGCAGTTTGCTCCTTCAAGATGGTTTCTAAGCACGCATCCGTACGCCGTTATGACCAAAGACACCAACATCGACATTTTCACAGACATGATAACCTCGTTACATGGTAAACAATGACTACATTCGAATATACGAGGGTCGCTCATTAAGTAATGCCCCACATTTTTTTTCTCAGCCAATAATGAAGATAGAAAAGTGTACTTTTACATGCTTGAGATTTGATGTTTCCCGCGTTCGTGTACGGAGTTTCAAATGATTCCAACCGATAGCGGAGCTGTAGTGAACTGTTAAAATGGCGTCTGTGAACGACTCTCGTTACAAGCAACGAGCTGTAATTGAATTCCTTGTTGCTGAAAAAGAAACGGTGGTGAACATTCATAAACGTTTGTGTGCTGTGTATGGAAGCTGTGCAGTCGATAGGAGCCCCGTTGGTCGCTGGGCTAAGAGAGTTAAAGCTTCAGGAAGTGAAGAAACCGAGCTCCGTGATCTGCCGCGCTCTTGAATCACATTATAATTACACTCGAACCATCCTGATGAAACGAATACAAATGGAAAGAAGACTCAATAAGAGTATTTGGCACTAGGTTTGTTCCGCGTTCCCAAAAACATACAAAGGAAATGTACCTAGAAGTAGGCACATAATACCTTAAAAATAAGTGCACTCTCTGTTTCAGTAGTAGATTTTCGAACGGCGAGCTGCCGTTTGCAACATTTTATATTATTAGCAAAAAAAGAAAAACTTTTTATTCCTCTAAGCTACCATACGCGGTGTTAGGGAATGAAGCTGACCACGCAATTTGTGTTGTCAATAGAAGAGCGAGGGAAGTTTGAAACAATTACCGAAACATCGTTTCCAGCATGTTCCAACGCCCCATGAGTACGCTGAGCTCAGCACAAATTTAGCTGTACTCAGTAATTAGAGAGTAAAGTCATGTCTCCTTTCCCCATAACAGGCTTTCAGACATTGGATAAAAAATGAAATCATACACAACACAAAGGTCGTTATTATTCATTTGGTCTGGTTTTCAGCGAAGAAAATTGTTACGAAGAGGCCGGAACTGCTAGGCGTACCAAGAACTAGGCATCGTCGCCCATGGATACAGTGGAGACCCTACATATAAAAAAGTAACTGTACTTCCAAATGAACCATCAACAAAGAAATGTGGGAAAATACACCAAATATCTGAAGACGGCTGTCTTCCCTGATGACAGACGCAGCAAGGACCTCCGAAACTTTGGTAAATTTCTGCCAGACTATAGCCCAGAAGACACCCATCTTCGACGAACGTCCGGCTTGCTTGTTCAAACGCAAACGAATTTCTGTCTTTCGCGTTACACAAACGTCGTAAAATTTATAAAATAAGTAGCCACATGTGCAATAGTAGGCCTATATTAGACCTGAATAAGATTAAAATACTTCTGATAACTACTTGAGCAGGTGAAGGAGATTTGCATACTGTGGCTAACAACAGTCAAGAATGGAGGAAAATTGTATTGGAAGCCAAGGTCCACAACGGACTGTATTTCTTGAGAAGCAGAAGAAGATCTTGAGTTTAATGCATGGTAACTAACTAACTAACTAGATGGCTTACCGAACCCGAAGGTTCATCACCGAATTAACCAAAGCCCTCCACCGGACCCTGTCCTGGGCCAACAAAATCCAGTTTCCTTCAACTCCTATCTCCCATAGATCCCGCCTGAGATTATCAACAGTTCTTAATGTACCGTGTTTAGCAGATAAATAAGACTTCTGAAATTATTACAAAAAGAGATGATTTCCTTTAAAAAAAATTGTCAAGAATAGTAAAGGGTTCAAAACCTTATTCCTTGTACATTTACGATGTATTTCATATGATATATTAAGAGTAAAATAAAAGAGATGATGTTATGATAAACGGAAGTGCTCTCTTGACGAAACTTTTACCCACAGTCGAAAAAACAATGATAAGAACTTGGAAAGTTATGTTTATTTATTTATTTATGCAAAACTTGTCATTCATATCCGAATTAGCAAATGGCATCACCTCAAATCCTTTAATTACTTGAGGTACAGTCCAGCTGAACTGCTGAATCGTTTGTACATTGCATTTAAGCTTTACCGCACGTTACGAAGACAGATCAGAGCACTGTGACGCGAACCAATTACTCTTCAATGAGCTGGCTGTGATGAACAGGGCAAGCGATGGTATTCGGGGGTGGGAGAGGTTATTCCAGACTTGCTGTTTAAGTTTTCCCGCCACGCTAACCTGCAAACTACGGATTATACTCCCACCCTATCATGTACCGAAAGCCATCAAGGCAGCCAGCTAGCAGCGACCACTTATGGGTACTCCTACACTTGGTATACTGCCATGTGCTCCTCTCTGCCATAGTTCGGTTATCGTGTAATTACCTACACCAGTGGGTGCTGGTGGGAGAGATTACAGAGTGTCAGATTGGTGGCAGAAACGTCTCATTATCTCGTGAACCCGGATTAACTGCCAGAACAGTGGAATCCATTATCTTCATTACTTATCCAGCATAACCCCCCCAATTGGTAGGTACGTATTTTGAAACCCATCAATTTTCTTCCTAAATCTTAGTGTCGTTAAAAGCTATACAAATTCGTGTGGCAAGCACGCAGCTGTTTAAACATACGCTTTTAGAAAGATTTTTGTTGTTGTTACTACGTGGAATGTTTATACAGCCTAAGTTCAGCAACTGTAACAGGCATCACACTTAACACTTTCTATACCATTTTTATGTGAAGATAACGGGGCGTGTCAGACGGAGATGTTTATTCATTGAATTCTAATAATGTTCAGATCACAAACTATATACACAGACCTACTGAAAGCAGTGCTTTAGGGCTAGCGTGCACGAGCGGTATTTCAACCTCAGCGGTAAAACTTCCTCAACCGCAAATTCTTGTCGCCTGTGCACACGGACGGTGAAATAAACGCGTTGTCTTTTCTCCTACTCGGTTACGCCAAGGTCGGACAATGGACACAGCATGGGTTCTTCACGTTCCATTGCCACCGCCAGCCGCCGTGCGGCCACCGAAATACATCGAAAATGAAGCATGTTCCGGCAGAGAAAACGCAACGGTAAAACTACCGCACGTACCATCGCTTCCTAATGAAACAGCGCGTTCCATCAACACCTCTGCGGCCCAAAAAGCTCGTACGCGCAGGGTGTAACAGGCTTCAAACTAACATGAGTATTGTCACAAAGATTCATACAGTGAGGTAGATATTAATATGAGAAAAAATGTCCTTGAAATGAGCTTGGAAATTTAAAGGCCTATATTCCTCAAAACCTAAGACCGATCTTGTCGTGATCTTGAGGTAACGTTGACTCATCCATGACCTCAAACTGACATGAATATGGTCATTAAGGTTGCTAAAGATCGGCAGAAATATGCGTTAGAACAAATTACTGCATGATGACCTTGAACACTTCAAAGGCCTCTATTCGGTAAACCCTGGGACTGATGTTGTCGTGACCTTCACATGACACTGACCGGTCTGAGACCTCAAAGTGACATGAGCATTGTCACCCAGGTCCCTAATAACCGGCAGAAGTATGCGTTTTGAAAAAATGACCTTCCAATGACATTGAGAAATTTAAAAGCCTCTATTCAGAAAACCCACGGACTCATATAGTCCTGATTTTGACATTAAGGTGACCGGTCCGTGACCTCAAACTGACATGAGTATTGTCACTCACATTCCTACAGATCGGCAGAAATAAGCCTTTGAAAAATTGACTTTCGAACGACCTTGAAAAATTAAAAGGTTACTTACCGTGCCAGCGACATCCGACGAGCTCCACCCTCATGCACACCGTGCGAACATGTTCTGTGAACGGCATAACGCGGACCTTCGTCGCCAGAACAGGAGGGTCCAACCGCTGCTCTACCACTGAGTACGTGTTCCTGTTTCCTGGGATCATCTGTCGGGACAACAACAAACAAGTTTTTTACAATTACTGTTAATACTACTACGTTCGCAACATTTGTGTAGAAATTCGTTCAATGGCCTGAAGCGGACAAGAAAAGTTACGAAGAGTTGCTTTTCATCTGTCGTTCTGCAAGTCTGCAGTGGAGAGGGAGCTGTTTAAACTCCACATACCCAAACAAACAAAAAAATAAAAACCAAACGGTAACCTTTTGAAGGACATCTCCAGCACTACTCTACGCAACATACAGAATGTCTCCAGCACTTCATGACCAAACAACTTCCGTATAATCTATTCAGAAATACTCCGGCACAACTCTAGGAATTATCCAGCACTTCTCCAGGACTTTTCCAGGAACCCTCCAGCACTTCTCCAGGCCATCCCCACGACCACCCGATGAACACTATACATATTCTCGAGTACAAAACCTAACCCACAGAAAGACAACACAAGCTTATCAAGGCTAACCTAAGCAACCTAACCTTACCTAACCTAATTAACCTAACCTAACCAAACATAACCAAACCAAATCTAACCTAACCTAACTTAACCCAACCTAACCTAACCAAACATAACCTAACCAAATCTAACCTAACCAAACATAACCTAACCAAATCTAAACTAACCAAACATAAAATAACCAAATCTAACCTAACCAAACATAACATAGCATAACCTAACTTAACCCAACCTATCCTAACCAAATTTAACAACCTAACCTAACGTAAATTTTCAAAACTGGCCTTTGGGGTCACTTAGGACCTTTGGGCTATATAGGCCCTCACACAGTATTTTTATTTAAATAGTGAACTTATTTCTGAACAAACCTTACAAAATTAGATTTCATTCGGCCTTACGTGCTATTAGTTTATTTTTACAGATGCAAATTATCAACTTTCATCCAGTACAAGGATGTGCACCTATCACATATTTTGTTGATCACATTCAGTTTGTGTGTAATTAAAGTACATGCCACTTCGGGTGATGTCGCTTCGGTCTGCCCGGTAATTTCGTTTTAGGACAATACAAGGAGGACAACAGATGGAACCACCAATAAAAGAGACGCAGACGAATGACTGCTTGGTTTAAACTCTCTTCGGTATATAGCTACGGAAATGTTCACAGTTTTATCGGCATTAGCCATCACATTAAAACGAGCTTTGTGTAGGAAGTAATGGGATGTGTCAATCATTGTAAAGAGAGCTCAATGACAGCTCGAAATGACGGAACAGGATTAAAACAAACTTTTTTCGAAAACGTTAATACGATATTAAAGAGAGCGTCCTTTAATTCTCGAAAAGAAACAGACTTGAATTTTTTAAAAAAGAGGCATTTTTGATGTATACAGAACCCACTTCATTCTATCCCACACTGTCAGAAAAATGCATTTCACTCGTCAGTTACGCGGTGTTCTTAATTGCATAAACTTCTTGACACAAGTCGACAGACGCAAGTTTCATAATATTTACACATGAAGGGAGACACAGCTTTTTAAGTGGCGTGTGAAACAATGTTTCGTCTCGTAACTTTGCTTCTGAGTGGCTATCTTGAACGTGTTAAAGAAGAGACAACCTTTTTTTATTATCTTAACTACGTTATTTTGGAACCGAATGAGATTATGATAATGCATAGCATACTACAAAATAATTAAGTACAGATCGATTGCGATCAACTTCAAGTTACTCCGGCGAGGGACTGAGTAAAACTAAGGAAAGTGTCATTCAGACAATGTGGTCCCAGGTCCAGCATCAAATCAGAAACCTGTAGAATACCGGAATAAAATAAAATATCTCACCGCACAGTCCTACAATGCAAACCTGAGTTATAATTCACTTTCGATGTCAGTCGTCACCTGTGAAATGTCAAGAGACGCACACAGTATCAGTAGGAGTAACTGTTTCACAAGGTAACGCTTTCAGTGCGATACTTAATTGACCTCCTGGAGTTCGTCTTTCAGTCATTTCGTGTCTAGCGACAAATACGCCCACGGCAGGGAAAGCCTTTTACTGAAAAGGTTATCAAAGTTCTGTGACGTCAGTTAGAGCCAATAACCGGCCCCACAGATCAGTTCATTGCCTGTGACATAAAACTTCATCCGTGCCAAAAGGACTTGAGGACAAATAGAAGACTGGAGAGCGAAAGAGAATGATAAGACTAAACCGTTGTTTCTGTATTAGAAAGTTTCGTCGTGTTCAAGTTTCATTAGCGAAAGGTAAATGTGTTTCAAAGCCGTTCCATGAGGCGTGTTTGTTGTAACTGATTTTGACAACTACAATTTTTCTAATTCTTTTGTGCAATTCCGAGGCAATTTTTGTATTCTACTCTCCTTATTTTACGAGAAAAGATAAGATTACGATATCAACACATCGTCAGATTTCAGGTTCTCACGTCAGTGAGTCTGAAGATGGATGTTTTCTGGGGTCTCGCGCCTGTAGTCTGGAAAAACGTTACTAACATCTGAAGTACTTGCTACCTCCATCATCAGGGCGATCGCCTTGCATAAAAATAATGTTTGGCGTGTGGTATTAAACAGGCGCAAAGAATATAAAATTCCATACAAGATATTGATTGGACCGCAGATCGAAAGGGAGTGGGTGGGTGGAATTCAGTCCAGATACAAATGCATCTTAAATTTTGTGTATCTGGACTGAATTCAAGTGGTTCAGGACAAGATCCAGTACTGAGCGAGCTCTTGTGAACTCGATAATAAACATTCAGCATCATAATAAAGAAATTTTTTCGATAGTTGAAAAGTAATTAATGTTAATTAATTGTAATTTTATGGTTGATTCTTCTGGATCTATGTAGGTCTATGGAAGCAACTGCATGTATCCTACAGTAGGATCTGTAACCCGTATAGTAATGAAAAACATACGTGTTTACTAATTAATTAATGTCAACAAGTATTTTCTGCGAATTATAACACTACTTTGCACTCAAATGATGAAAATTAATTTTGTAGCCTGAATTATAATCAGGAGGTGTATGTTTTCACATCGTACAATAAGGTCCACATTAATTAATGGTGTATGAACACGATGTATAACACGCCAGCTTCCTACCACATACGGCCTCATACGAGTATAATCAACAATTAATAATACAAGGACATCAAATTAACGTACAAACCAACTTGGTGCACATTATGTTGCGGTCATGAACAGGCAACTCAGCGACAAGATATTTCATCCCAAGGTACCAGGTAACCACAGCTACCGTGCTGATGCTGACTGGCATATTGAGCGTCTAAAGGCAGTCACGATCAATGCTCCAGCTTAGCTAATGACGTATTTCCACCGACTAACAAGACAACTGCTACAACAGAGCCTACTGTTATATTTTGGGTATCACTTACCGCTGACATCGAGAAGACCGGACAAGTTAAATCGGGCGTAAGAATAAGCAGGGTAAGATTTCAGGTTCTCACGGTGAGTATGAAGATAACTCTCTTCTGAAATGTTGCACTGTGAGATAACCGTCTTGATTATGGAGGCAGCAACGACCGCCGAAACGTTGAAAAACTTCTACCAGTCTACAACCCGGACGACAGTCATCTTCAGATGTGGAGTAGTCCCTTGATTAAGGAGCTAATAACAGCTGATCTTATCTGAAATTTATGTAACCTGAAGGCCCATTGCCGTGTTTAAAAGAGTATGTGAAATATTCCTGTCCTGAGCCAGATTAGTCCGATCCACATCACACCTTCTTTCTAAGGTACACTTTAATAATATTCTCCCAGAAACACACAGATCTTCCAAGTGGTATCTTCCATTCGGGTTTTTTTGGACTCATCTCTCTGCGTGCTACGTTCTCCGCCCATTCCACCTTCCTTGATTTAATTTCCTTAATACGTACTTGAATGAGTGAAAATTAAAAAGCTCCTCTTTTTCACTTTCTCAATCTTGCTGTTCCTGGGCTCCGTGTTGTGAAGGACCCTCAATCTACGTTCACTGTGATTTTCTGGCTTGTGACGAGTGCTGGTTTCGATGTTGGTATTCTAAGTTGAAACACCGTATACAATTATTGGTACATGCCTACATTTTGGTGGGTCACTCTGTCTCCATCATCGGGGCTCTAGTCCAAACATCCCAACGTTAAAACCCAGACGACCACAGTCGAGATTTTAACCGCCGTCACATCACAACCACTATCAAGAAAGTTCCTCTCTCAGGGTGACAGATCGAGTTTCACAATTGTGCAAAACAACGAGTACGGGAGGATAAATACGAAACAAAACACCCCAGTGAAAGCACGTGGTCCACGTTTAATGTATCCTGACGATACAGGCATACGCGTTGAATACGTTGTGGCAATCTGTAGCCTGTAACACATCCTGGTGTGGGTGTGTGACAATGATATGGGCGTACTTAAACCTGCACTAGATGTGAGGCACACGCAGAAGTCCGGACCGAGAAACGTGACTAGACTTCTAACTAGAGAAACAGCGACCGAACCTCAAACATGGACGGGGCACGTGGTCCACACGCCTTGCTGCATAACGCCACTGCAGTTACTACAAACGGCTTACTCAATCAGCAAAGGTGCGTGCTGAATGTTCGTAGAGACTCCGGGAAGCGACTGTTACCGGTGTGGACAGACAGCTACTCTACCGACAATGCAGCGAACCTCTGGAACAAGCGGTTCTGGTTTAACGCGCTGCTCTTAATGAGACAGCCACTCACAAGACCCTGGTTTCATTACCTACAAGGGCGAAGTTTTTATTTCTGCTACAATGTCTGTAGTGTAACTGAAGGCCCACTTCTGTCAAATGGTTATGGAATTTACAGCGGCCAGAGTAAAAGTGAACTTACGTCTGTCTTGTCCGAGGTTCAAAACGTCTGGAACTTTCATTCTCTGTCTATGAGCCTTCACGAAAAAGTGCAAGAAATGTAGTTCATCAAACTTGGTTTAATCATTCACCAAAGTATTTAAAGTAATTGTTCCCTTATTATCATCATTAATATATAACATTTCCGAATAAGTGATGTTCCTTT